TCCTTGTCCTTACATTGAAGTCACGGCACCAAACTCAATCTTCGGGTCCCAGCTTCCATCCTCCAGCCCTACGTCGCTTATCGTACTGCGCTTTGTATTTTTGATGTTCTCCGCCTGCTTCCTCTGAGCCCTCTGTAAAGCCGACGAACGAATGCGACGCTTCTCGTGGACAAAGTCATCTTTGCACGAGCTCACGCGGCCTCGAACTAGCTGAGAGATGAGTATGCTTGGATCACGGAGGAAATAGGTAAAGAATGGGGTGTAGGCATCGGTACTGCACACCTCATTTTTGCAAGGGAAAAAGTTAACCCTGAAGATGTGGTTTCACGGTCAGATCCATGAGACTCGGAAACAGCGCGTAGCCATCGCTAAATATCCAGGTGTTTTCTTTCAACTTTACCGACGGCCTCGTGATGGCAGCCAACACTGAACCGTGCTCGAACACCAAAATGCTCTCACTGCGCCTGAAAGCCCGAGATTTTTTAGCCGATTGGCCCCGCGTCAATCTCCATCAATTCGGGCAGCGCAAACGTCGAAAAGTGATGCTTTAGCTTTTCTGTGATGTCATCAGACTAACCGGAATTAAGCGCATAACACGCCAGGAAACCAGAAAGTTTATCCACACAGGTCAGCATGCAACACCACCCTGTCAGCGAACACTGAGGCAGAGTCAGAATGGCTATGACGAGGGTCTCGTTCGGATAGCTGGCCTACTGGAGAAGAAGTGGTGAATTATATGGACAATATGATGTGCAATCATGGCTAATATGATGGACAATCGCTCTAGAATTGCTATCATATTTCTGGTACCGCCAAGGGGAATACAGCTTGGGAGAAAGCTGCACGACAAAATCTGTTACGGTCAAACTGATCTCCCCAGCCCACTCTGAAAACTCGTGCCACTGTACTCAGGCCACTGCCGTCTTTTGCCTCTGTCCATGCCGTCCTCTGGCTGTGCGAGTGGAACGCACGTCCAATCACCTGTCCCAGTCAACACAGACTTTAGCTGCCTTTGGTATCTACACCCATCGTCGCTTTCTGGTTGAGCATTACGAGCGCCGGTATCTGCACCGTAGTCGCTTCCACGGGCGCATGGCGACGGCGAACTCGCCCCCCAGGACTCCGCCGACTCTACATATTTCCCGAATACCCCGCCAGGGGCGCTAGCATCGGCCGGGTACCCAGGGCCGCGCGGTCTGGCGGCGGCGCATGTTGCGCCAGGTCACAGACTTCGTGCAAGCGGAACAGCATGCCCACGCGGGGCTAGCCTTTGCGCCACGGAGTAACGAAATTAACTAACGAACACCTCGCAGCGTATCATCCTCCGGTTTATGTGGTCTCGATTGTGCAGAATGTTGAAAGCGCCTTGCAGTCGCCAGCCTATGTAAACCCGGTATCCACTGAACAGTTGTAATGTTTATTTAAACCCTGATTGAAACTTTATACTTATAGCTCAAAAATCGTCCACTTCCTCTGAGTCCGGCGATATCTACTTCAGTCACAAGTGATTATGCGCTCCTCCCCGTCCTGTATTTGAGACAAAATTTGCCCGACCCTATGGAGCCACCATCCGTACTCAAAATAAATGGAAAATCTCCGCGCGGATAGCTAATCATTTTTCCGCCCCCGCTCCCCCCCCCCCCCCCGCCTCCTGATCATCGGCCCACAAAGGTGGGAAAAACACTGGCTCTTTTACTCGTTCCAAAAAATATTCTTTGAGTTGCACAAAGTGACCGCGGGGTCTGAAACAGTGCTGAAAGACGGGGCTGAAGATATTTACGGAAACATGACAAGCATCCAAAAAGCCTCTTAGCTTCTTTCACAGACTTAGGCAGCTTCAGGACAGATATTATCTGAATGCGATTTGGATCAATAGAAACTCCATTATGGGAGATCTGATGACCAAGGTAATTCAAAGTTGTTTGAAAAAGACATCTATCTGGAGCGAGCTAGAGCCCTGCACCGCGGGGTCTCTCTAGAACCGTGCGCCAAACCCGGCTATGTTGTTCAACACTCGGGCTCGTGAGCAGGCTGTCGTCTGCCCACACGCGCACATTCTCCGAATCCGCTTAGGACGCTTCGCAAGACTAGGTGCAGAAAGTACGATGACTGCATGCATTCCATGGGCATTGGCCGAGAGCAAAATGTCTTTCCCGACAACTATACCTCACAAATCTTAGTTGATTGCTAGGAAAGCTGAAGATTCAAAAACGCATGATTAATGTCAAGTGCTGAAGTGATTTGCAGAGAAAAGACAAACTCATCAATCGTAGGCAAGATAAACTGCTCCGGAACGAGGAGCTTACTCAACGATCTCATGTTCTGCACAATCCTGTAGCCATTAGACCCCTTTGGTAGGAGATAGGAGAGATAGGAGATAGGAGATAGGAGATGATAGGAGAGTTCCAAAAGGAGAGTTCCAAAAGAAGAGTTATCAGTTGGTCTTGGTGGGCCGATGGCATTGGGTGTGGCTGTAGGAATTGAGGCTGTACTCCCTTCCGCAGCTCCAAGCTAATATCATCACTGTCACACCGGCCTGTATCTGCACAGCCACGGCTAAACACCCCCGGAAATGAATTGATCAACTTCGCCACTTTATCTCGTCTTTGTCACGTGTGGCGCGCTGCCGCCTCCCCGGCGGATCAGCAGGGCGCGCACCACCATCTGATGAGCAGCGTGAAGGCGGTGACTGGCGAGGGATCCGCCAGGTGGCAGCCGCTCCGACAGATCGCTCCGGCGACCACCCAGAGCCACGGCCATACCGCCCACCGCGCGACCGCGACCGCGAGTCAGGCGACCACGAGCCCCAACGCTTGCGGCACCAATAGTCCCTTGGTGTAATGAGCTTGTGACCGGGCCGATACGACGCTGCCGAAGATGTGGGGCACCGTTGCACTCCACATGCACCACTCCACTCTCGGACCAGTGCAAGTGCGCAGAACAGTGTCGCTCACTTCCCAACGAGTGGAAGACGAGCTCTTCTCGCTTTAGCTTGCCGATGTCTTCGTCGAACGACGCCACGCCCTGGCGTGACAGTAGCACCTTCTCTTCAACCGATGATCCCACCTAAAGATGGCGGTACACTGCAGTTTGATAGGCTGGAACGCAGGCCTTTTTCACGCAACCAGCCTGGTCCAAAGAAAAGCTGTGGGTATGTATCCAGATCAAGCCGTTTGATGAGAACAGAGTACTCCAGAACAGGTACTGTGTCTTTCTAAGCAGTACTCAGCTAAGTAGACGCCATCTCCGGCAGTCGAGCATCAAACTTTTTTCGGTAGAGATGTCGCCCAGTGCTGCCAGACATTGGCAACTGGCAGGCGGTATCGCCATCGGGTGATATTAGCCAATCGCAGACCGAAAAGTCGGCCAACGCAACACGAACCATAGCCGATGCGAACGCAGGAATGGGTAGCTCGCCATCCATGGTACAGGATCACTTCCCCGATGCCGCTGCCACCATGTCACGAACCGGCCTGGCCGACGGGTCACGTGGTCCACATTCATCCGGGCAACACACGTAACCCGAACAAGGTCTGTATTCAACTATCCGTTACACGCACATATCCCGCTGGCATCGGCGGCCCCAAACGGCTCAAGCAACTCCTACGTCACACTAGACAGAGGCGGATCCTGGGCGGTACAGGGCGTGACGGGGACCAAAACTTTTCGTCTGGAACAGGTCGATTTAACCGTACTGGCACACATAGAGACCGTGGGCTTCTTAGGGACGTGCTGCCACAGGTGACACACATCCTGGGCGTTTTAATCCCGAGGGCTTAACACAGAGATCACATGGATTCACCCAAGGGGTTACGTGTGACTAATCACGTACGCGAGCGCGGATGGAAGTAGCACACTTGCTCACTTGACACTGGGTTGTGACACTCTGTGACTGCACTCCGATGGGGTGTAGTATGGAAATTGGTCACGTTTGAAGAATGTCCAACAACGAGCGGCGAAACGGCCACTTAAGTATCCAATATCCAAGAATCACAAGAATATATGAGCCCCGCAGGGTATACGCATATGTGTGTGGAAGGGCTTAAGCATAGAAACTAAGTAGTAATTGGGATTTTTGGAAGCTTCAGATAGCAGAGATCGAAGGCTCCTTAGGAGCGTGCTACCACAGAAAGCACACAACTGACGGATGCCGGAATGTGCTAAGCAACGTTGCAAGGACCCAAGCAAGAGTTCTACATCGCGCACTGCAATACTTGAGCATGTGGTCATAACGGCATTTGGCAATAAACATACTACTGTCACCAAAGTGCCTAATTCCATGAAGCGAGGTGTGACCTCTCCAATGCTTAATCCCAGCGGGCGTGTTTTTTGAGGAGTGTGCTGGAGCAAGCAGCAAAACTACTGGAGAGACTAGAATCTTAACCAAACTTCGACACAGGCTGGGACTGATGAGGAGTGTGCTGGAGCAGGCAGCAAAACTACTGGAGAGGCTAGAATCTTAATCAAACTTATGATACAGGTTGAGAATGATGAGGAGTGTGCTGGAGCAAGCAGCAAAACTCCTGGAGAGACTAGAATCTTTATCAAACTTACGATACAGGTTGGGCCTGCTTTATTACACTGGCAAGCGTAGCTGACCGTGGTACACATACCCACTCAAGATAAGCCACGGCGTACGCACGTGGTAGCTTCCAGGGGCACACGCCCGTTCCCAAACAAATTCGTGGCCCGTGCTCGTATGTAAGCGATGAGATGTTGATAGACAAACATGTCAGGTATAAACACACATATTTCGAGGGCCTGCGATGCTGGTGTACGACACTCGAGAAACTTCGCGCGCCTGCAGCGCGCCAAACGCGGTTGTCGGACTTTTTAGTTGTGCTCATCAAGCGCAATGTCAAATTATGCATACGCCCGGGGCGCTGGGGATGTGACATTGTGCCTTATAGTGAATTACAACATCTTCTTAACACAGCAATAACCGGAGTTACACCTCATCGAGGAATGTGTGAAAGGTGAAAGTTATTCACAGCATGGATGTTTCAGCAATATTACCTTACCGCGTCCAAACACTTTCATCGCTGCTCTCGGGACGCATTTCTGGCTGGAACTAAATGTACGCCCATTTTCAAACTTTTAAATGTAAGGACTCTGGACGCAAAGAGAGCCTTGAAGCACTTGCCAGGAATCTGAAACAGAAACACAGCGTTGGTTTCCTCGCTTCCCCCTTCTCCCCCCGCCCCCACAGCGACACACACTGACCGGGTCCCTCAGCGGCAAACCATTGACGAGGATGGGGTGGATCTGCCGCCTGATTGTCTCAAGAACGGCCGGACTTGATTACAAAAAAGCAATGTGGCAGGCCCAGTGTTCCACACAGCCACACAACTTTGTGAGACAACGAAATTCATTAAAAAGGGGTTCTAGCATCAATATATAGTAGCACTTGCAACCTATCCCTTCCCTCCCCTACAGGCGATATGCCTGACCTCCTGACCACTTCCATGCCGCGGACAACGATGTAGCGTATGGAGTTGTAAACCCAAGCTTTTATGAACCCGACTCCGTTCTTCATTAGCAAGTGGAAGCCCATTCTCCATTTGGAGTAAGTCCATCCGGCGTGTGACGTAGCAGCCTGAGCTCGGTTCCTCATCAAAATACGACCCGAGCTCATAAGCATACAACCCGAGTTCATTAGCATACGACCTGAGCTCCATCCACTAAGGTGACGTCATAGACACACGCCACCAGAGAACGCCTTCAATTTCAAACATGGACACGAGTAAAATCAGCTGATACAACCCTTGGAGACATATAGCGCATAGGAATGGCGTACTTGAATATTATTCGGATAACGGTTATTGGCAAGTGATCCGTAGCTAAGTAAATCATTATCGATCACGCTTTCCACATGAGATCGAGATCTGCCTATTTGCCGAATATGTAACACCGTCAATTGCCATGTCAGCGTCGTCGACATGCTTCTAAACAAACTTACTCATTTCGCCTCTCGGCCAAGTAGGGAGCGGCATTGGACCGTGACGTCATATTAAGATGTGGGGTTGCCCCGTGGTAGGAAATGGGCTTCCATTGTCGTTCTGCTATGCTATTTGTTATTTTTGATTTCTCTTCCGAAACCATAAGCCAGAAGCTACCGCTAGATCGATTCTGCCTGAACTATATAGTCGATAAGATGAAGAAATAATGCGTTACACAGCTGCGTAAAATAAATCGCGGGCGCTCTCCATTTCACAATGGCCAGAAAATCCTTCTCATACGATACATTTCAGAAGCTTTGCTTTGGCTTTGTCTGGGCTCTACAGACATATTAAGGTCCCGCGAATATATGTTATAGGCCAAAATACGCCAACAATCTGTATTAACATGGTTAAAGGGAATGTTCCACATTTGAATGGCGTTTTGAACTGAAATAGCCATCGTGACGACCGTTTGATGCAGTTTACGGTCATGCTATTTTTAAGACCCAAAACGATTTGGTTCCAGAGTTATACGGCCTGCAAAGTGTCAAAATCATTGTAGTTCCCCTATTTCAAAATCGCCCTCTGATTAATGACGCAATAGAAACGTCATTAGATACTCTGTGATATGATTGGTTGTTTGTTTGTTTATGTTTCGTTTATGATAAAGACCGTATAGCGGCTCATTCATTCGCAAAGGCGATGATGCTGCACATGTGTTACAACACGCGAAAGGTGATTGGCTATTAGTAAGATTGTACTGCTGAATGCGCATCGCGAACATAAGCGAGAGCAATTTGATGTGCGGCAGTTGTCGACGGGGCATTTTCCGCCACGCCCAGGCAGTGTCCTGTTTGTATCGGTGTGGGGTGCGGAACATGGGGTGGTGTGTGTGCGGTGATCGCAGGACAAAAGAAAATGATTTGACTGTGTTCGCGTAAGTACCTCGCTCCCAATCTGTTAAAAACACTTCACGCCGAAAATGTCTGGCGTATCACTAACTCTCAGCAGTAAGTTCAGGGTATGCACGTTTCAACATGGCATGCATCCTCGAATGTGGTGTGCGGTCGCTTTCCACTGTTCTCAGCTTGAAGAATAAGTATGCAATCACGGGCGCGTCCGGCCAAAGGAAAATTACTCAACGAATGGTAATCTCCTCGATAATCGTCCATGGAGATTTTCCATTTACACTCGACTGGTCCGGAAATTATCCCCCAGATTAGTCTCCCATACGCCATCCACAGCCAACGGTCATAGCTATGCATGGCGAAAACCGATTCTTCGTCTTAATCATGCTCTGAAAATTCTCCGGGATTCTCCGTCACTACGGAAAATTATTGGACAATTTTTCGTGACCGCATTGCCGGACGCCATTCCGAAAAAATTACAATATTCCGGGTAATTTTACACGAGCATCTGCCGGCCGACGCGCCACGCAAAAATGGCAAAAATGCCTTCAAACATGCCGGCAAAAATGCCTTCGAAAATAAAACAAAGTATTTAAAAAGCAGATGCACGCGGCAGCTGAACAGCGGGTGCGATTGCTAGGAGCTGGTCTTACGGTTGCCACCAATTTCAGAAATAGTTATGTTTATGTACTTTATTGCTGCAAAAAATATACAAGATATTAATGTTGGGAGTAAATGACTAGGGTCAAGTATGGCATGTTGGTGGAGGACATTGCATGGCACATTGGCAAGTAGCTTTTAATAACATTTTTGAGTAAGTTCAAATCCTTTTACTTTTTTCTATCACTAGGTTATGGGCACCACATAACCAATGTAGTTGGCACGCCCTAAATCCCAAATCATCATCATCGGGATCGTACTTGTTTCCATCTCCTACCTATCTCACTACCATCATGAAGCTACACCCTGGCTATTTAATGTAACCACTTCTTAAACGGATGACTTGCATGTACTTGCATAAACTTGCATGAACAGTGTGGATTTTGTCAGTCAGGTCAGGATCAGGGATATCAGTCAAAAACTATTCCATTGTTCCAGATTACAGGAATCATCAGTGTGCTCAACTTATGACTGAACTCTATGTGCTGTAATCAAATTTGCACTGGGCTGAGCTCCTAGCTGTCATATTCTGGCAATGACATTGTTTGGTATTGCCATGCTGTTGCCACCACTTTAAAACACTAAATTTGCTTACCATTAACTAGATTTGGTGACAGCTATGCATCATGCTCACAGCTTGCAAAGTTCAAGGGTGCATGGCCTCAGCTTGTATTACTTATTTTTGGGATGACAGGCATTTCAAAATGAGTCAGACATTTTTGGCATCCCCAAATGTACTGATGAATCACCACTTAGCACAATGATTAACACACACCCTGTGAGCAGACATTTTCAATCTGCATTACTCATTTGAAGTAGAAGATGTCCATTGTATTGTATAGTAATCCAATTTCCCAATTATTGTGATCCTTTCAGATTCCCAGCTCAACAAGGCCACCATCAGAAATGGCTTGATGCATGTGGTATCAGTGTTCTCAAGATGAGGCATGGTGTGTGCCAGACACATTGTCCATCACATGCCTTTTCCAGCCTGACAGCCAAAAAGAATAAGCCTGTGCCCTCTCTGCAGGTTTGTGAATGCCTAGGTTTTCTTTATTTCTTTTTGTCAGACACTTCATATTTAGCCTTGGCATTCAGGCTTGAACTTATCCAACATTAGAACATGCATGGCATTTCTGTGATCACCTTTTGTCTCATTCATTGCCATGTCCGATTTCAGTCATTACTCATTCACGCATTTCAGTGTGCTGCAGTCAATTCTGATATCAACATTTATATGATGCAACTAAAACATTGTTTTGTGCTCTACTTGGCGCACATGTCACAGTGCTGTCCTATAGCCTGTACATTGTGTGACAGCTTTGTTCATTGTCAACCTTTCTGATACTGATCATTGATGTCCTGAACTGTTTTCAGCACAGGGAAGGTGTTCCAGGCACCCCAGTGCTTCCTATGTCTACACCATCTCAAAGACCAGAATCCGGGTCCGAGTGTTTTCTTTTTGGGTTGGATTTCGAAAGTTAGTTTACCTTTGACCAAGACGATTGAAATTTGTTTTACAAAAATTACAGTACAAACTTCATTAAGTAATGACATAAAGATGACTAAATTTGCAATAATGATTGATATTGACATTGTCTTATAATGATCATATCGTGCCAAACACAAGGAACTTAGCAAGACCTACAGGGACTTAAAGGACTACAAGAAACACGTAGATGACTAAAGGGACTAGCAGCCTGAAATCTGTCTAATTAGGGAAATTGCACATTTGCATGTAGTATTGTATGGACAATGCTGTATAAAACGTTAATGCAGCTTGTTTGCTCCTTTGCTCTAAAGCCAGAGCAGAGTTACCAGTGAGTCCCACCTTGGTTGTTGCAGTCATCGTCATAGGTATTAACTCCACATCTGCAGTCTATTACAATTTCCATCGTTTTTTCAAACTACCACTAGCAGCTCGTGGTAGTTGTGCGTGTCCTTCCTGGCGTCAGCAGCAGGGGCAGAGGGTGCGGGTAAGCACGGCGTCGGCCGGGCACCGACGCCAACATATCGGGCCGAGCGTCGCCGTTTGGGAAGTGGCTTCACCGGCAGCGTCCTGCCATCGGCGACGGCGGCGCGTAACCGTTCGAGCCTCTTGACACGGAGGTTTTAGGGCCAGAGCGCGGCGGCGGCCGACGCACTGCCGCCACCGTAGGAGTGGACGCCGCCGTCAACGTCCCGCTCTCGCTACCTGCACCCATGCGACGTCGCTTCTGCTTCGGCCTAACCTCCGCCCGCCGTTGCTCCTCTCTCTCCCCGCTGACCTGACCTCCGTCCTTCCCTGCCCCGCTGACCTGACCCGTGCGTGAGCCCTGCCCGTGGCCCGCTCACCTGCCGGGCCGGTCACCGCCGGCCATCAGTACCTCGGTGTCCTGGCTCTCGCGCGTAGCCAGCAGCACCAGCCTGGACACGGAGCGCTGGCCGACGCGGCGCGTGCCGCCCGACGAGCAGCCCAGCGCCATGCCGCCCCGGTCCGCAGCCGCCGCGTCGCCCCGGTACCCCATCATACTCTGCCGGGGGACGCCGACGCCGTCAGGCCAGCCGGCGCCGGTCACCCGCGCGCCACAGACGGCGCTCACAACGCTCGGTCACATCACACGGTGGTCGGTGTGGGAGGGCGCAGGCGGCAGGACCTGGCGCCGGCCGCTGCAGTTCGGACGCCATGCCCGGCCGCCGTACCTGCGTGAGCGCTGTGCCCTGCTCCTTCTCTTTGGTGCTTAGTCGGATCAGGTTGTCCGGCACGGCCACGTCGCGCAGCAGCTGCCGGCGGGAGCGACCGTCAGACGGGCACCGGTCCGATGCACGCGTGCACTCCCCGGCCGTCACAAGCCGGAGTGGATCACCGGACGGACTTGGCGGACGAATGGACGCTTCACAGACCAGTATAGACCATACAGGCCAGAACATGCCCTCCACAGCCGTTGAGCCATGAACAGATCAGAAAAGGTCTCTACAGGCAGACGTGAGGCCTCCGCAGTTAATAACACGCCTTCTGCAGATCAGAATGCCCCTTAACAGACCCAGCAGTGGCCTCTTTTGGTCAGAACATGTCATATATAGGCCGGAAGAAGAGCTCAACAGGAACACATACAGACTTGCACAATATATTTACAGTTAAGAATACGCCTTAACATGCCATGTAGGCAATCATCATAATACACACCTTGTGCAGGTGCACCACTCACGTGCTTGCGTCTGTTCCAGGCGACGCTCCGGGGTGGGCACTGGGCAGTGAGGAGGCTCGCACCTCCCATGCCAGAGAAGGGTAGCGGGTGAGAAGGTCACAGACAACCTTCTCGGCCTGATGTTCGTTGGCCAAATCCGCCACCAGCTCCTGATGGAAATGTAGGATGACTACGCAGCTTGGCATGCAAATACTTAACAGGATGTTCAACATCACTTTAACGGTGAAACATACTGCTTAAAACAATGAGGAAGACACCAATTTTTTTCAAGGCAAAGAAGACACCGATTCTAGCATCAATTACTGACCATAACATCTAACATTTTGCTTCATAGTACATTGTGTGTGTAGCAAAACATGGGATGGTTAGCATACAGTGACAGTAATGCTACTTGTTTAATCACTTGCCCAGTTAGCCTGACCATGAAGACCAAGCACACATGTATGCACTGAAGGCAGGTGGTCTTGATACCATGACTTTGTAAAGCCATTATCATTAATTTTTCTGATTACACACTAAAATTCAGAAGATGCATAAAATACCGTTACCCTAGCACAGGAGGTTTGAGCCGAAGCTGCCTCCTCAACTGCTCTGTCCCTGTGGGGCATGACATGATCATAATGGCAATGCAAATGTAAGGAGACCACTATGCACCATATGTTTACATTGTCCTGTATTTTTACATTGAGATGGGAAAGTTGGACCAATTGAAATTAAGCATGATTTTGTACATTGATATACACAGACCCACACAACACAACTGCACACTCTCTACTTCAACTTGCACAAGTTTTAATCATGGCTAGACTAAATTCTGTAAGAAAGCATCATGACTGATTCAAGTTATGTTCACATGGCATGTGTCGTGCAATCATCCGCTAACGTGAAGCCACCACTTAAACAGCATAACCAGTGCACACAACTGTTTTATACAAAGTTATTCTTCATGTAAATGCATCAGCATCTCCCAAAACTCAAGGACTGATAAATGCAGCGACAGCATGTGCATATTAAACAAATAGGATCTACTGATACAAATACGCTGCATGTGCACCAATGATACATACATGAAGATCAGAAAATTAGATCACTGTGTGAAAAGCTAAGTAGAAGTGAACATGTCACCAACCAGCCCCAGGGGTTGCTCACCCAGATGCCTCCTGAAACAGACGCCTCACAGGTGCTGTTCGGGTGGGACGTGGCAGGCGGCCTCTGCCACGGCCTCGTGGCTGCCGAGACCCATTCATGCTACTGACACAAGAAGCAAATTACTTCATAAGGTTATCACCAAACAAAATAGAAACAACAAATTCCAAAACAAAATAAACACAGCAGCATCACTAACAGCGTTTATTATTTGCAACTAGAAATGGAGACATACCCAAAAATAAACAATAAATTCGAAATTGCCATGAATTAATTGTCAAGGTATTGTTAATGTTGTGGTAAAAATTGATGAATAGGATAAACCACTGAGCTTTTGTGTAAAACTGATGCAAGGACTATGCACAGCAGGCAAATATAGGTCAAAAATCCGGCATTACGATACCCAACATTTCTCATGACAATATATGACGGTTTTCACAGCAGGCCATACGTTGATTTATATAAACTGGCAAAAAACTGGCGATTGTTACGTTGCGCATGTCAAACAGTTCACCAAACTTTTCCTTCGCCCAGGAACAAGACACAAAGAATCTGAACACCGCCCTCTTACCCCGCACCAGACGCAGCTGTCACCACGAAAACGGCGGCTGGCATCAGCTTGCGTGTATTTAGAGGTGTTCCTGAGGTGTGGTTACCAAATGGAAGCAGATGTTGCTGTCGTCACACAACGAATCCATGACGCCATCAAACAATGCCGTAATGGGACGCATTTTTAAAACTTTAAATTTTGCTACTTAGGGTCATTTTTGAACCTTGAAAGCTTCCCAATAGTTACAAGTAAACCTTTAGCATCATATCCGATGCTTATCTCAAAATCTTCAAGTGTGGAACATTCCCTTTAAGCGATGCTTGTCTGGAAACATTCAACGTTCAGTCAGAGCCGATAAGTGGTGCAAATAATGTAACGTTGCGTTACTACAGTATTTTTGAACGGTAGTCTTGAACATGTGGGAGTTCTGAACATGCGCGATCGCAAATGTTAGCAACAAAAACCTAAACGCTAGGCGTTGCAGTCTCCGCGGGCCGCGGAGCCTCGACCTGGTGGCTAACATTAAGCCACGGCCAAAAAGTGGATGCAAATTATGGCGTTTCTGAGAGAGGTACCCTTGAACGCTCTCAGACGCTACATCCTACATTAAGGAGGTATTACGGGCGTATGTTTCAACCGTACGGTTTTAGAGTGATAAAATGCATTGGCCTTTACCGTAACGTGAAATGGTGTCGGAATCTAGTGGTGGGACTAGAGAAGTAAAGATAGCACCTCTATTTTTGGTGTTACTATAACTGCTAGTCTGTTTAGAAGACAGCCTCAAAGCTGTAAAAGTGATGCGCCCAGCCTAGTTTTTAAATGACACGACTTACTTTTGAAAGACGTTCGTAACCATCATTTCATCCCGGTCGTTCTCGCGCGCATGACGTTCGACGTTTGGTGTTACTTGCAGTGACCAATGCCGTTCGGTTTTACGGAAACTGCAACCCTGGCCATCGCTGTCCTTGCTCCCGAGATTGCGGGTACGCAGGCTCAAATCTTTTGATGTAATTTATTTCAATAGTCGATTCTGTAAAAGAATGGGCGTTCTCAGGCAAATGTGGAATCGCCTTGTTCGCCTTTGATCTCATTTTGACGCCCTCCATTCAATACTAACAAGACTCCTTATTTCTCTCCGAGCAAAGGGCCCCTTGAGTAGAACACTAGAGGCACAATTTTGTTTCTCGTCAAAGGCTGAACGGCCATTCTGTCCCACCACGGAGTGCCTTCCGTTTGTCATTCTGGTGACACGGGGCGGGATCCCCTGGCTGATCCGGAGACCCTTAGAGGGATACAACATGTTACATTGTTCCCCTCCTTGACGCGGGAGGCCAACCGGCGCGGTTGGTGCCACACCGACGTGGGAGCTCTCAGTGATGTAACAACATCTCTATGGGCCCCTCAGAGCACAAGGGGGGGGGGGGGGTACGTGCCCCTTGTGCCCCCCCCCCCCCCTCCCACCTGCGCAGCTGCCTCATTCTGCGGTGCCGTGCAGTACAGTACCGACCGTGCAGTGATTTAAGGGAATGCTTTAAATTTGAAAATGTTGAATCAAGCATCAAATGTGGCGAAACGGTCTCACTTGTTGGTATACTTTTTAAGGGACAAAATTACTCTAGACGGCACAATTATATGGTTGGTAAATATGATTCTCGATGCGTTTTGGTTTGACTACGTCATCGTACCCTGCACAGCATTGATTGAGAGCCAGCTGACGGCCGTTGCATTTGAAAACCCCACGCCAGATATGAACGCCTCGACATCCGGATTTTACTTGCGAACAGCACCAAATGGCATTCAGGATGGCAAGTTCACTTCAAGACCCCATATAAACGTGCAGCGCATTTTTTGAGCAGCGCATCTAGGAAAACAGTGGCACGGGGTTCCACCCCCACGGTGCCCGCTCTTCCTGTCAGGGTGAGAGGCGGACGCGCCATACAGCCTGAGCAGTTAAGTGTGTCTCAAACCCTCAACCAGACACACTCGAATGAACAGCTGTTGGCAAGTTCTGTGGCTGAATACACCATTGTTGATCACGCCATCCACATGCGATCAAGACCTGCTTGTTTGCCGGACATAGAAGGCATCAGCATCGTATCGATCGTTGCTAGTCGCTGCTATGACAACAGCGCCGAGCGACAACTCACCTGTAAATACTTATTCACTACTTATTGCACTTATCACCTCTTGGCCGACTAGGTAACGGACTTACGTAAGGTACGGACGGTCGTCAGGCGATTGCATTTGTTCACAAGCAAGTCGTCACTGCTTACAGAGCAACGCCTAGGAACGGTGGACGTCCGGTTAACAGTTTGCATAAGTCTCGAACCTAACGGGCAGGGGTCAAGAGAGACTTCACCAGCCATGGAGGCCGCGCTATGGTCACCGTGTGTGCTTGCGTCGGGAAACAGCACTGGCGGGAAACCCCCTGCGACAGCCCGTGCACTGAAATGGGACCATGAAAAGAGGCCATCCAGAAAGATCAGTGGTTATGTACAGGATTGCAGCCAAGAGGGGAGGGGGGGGGGGGGCTCAGGCCAGACCAGATGTTTTCTTCCGGTCACCATGAAAGGCTCCTCCCAGAATGTTAAAAATCGGTTTGATTCTCTGCCACCAAGGTCCCCTTTCTTTTGAAGGTCCCCTTCTCGCAGATTCGTGCTCTTGGCTTCACCAACACGGCACCCGACGCATTGGAGGCGCAGTGGAGGGTGCGAGTGCCAGACTACATGACGGACAAAACCTTACAGGGCCTCCAGGACCAGGTGATGTTACCGACCATCGCCTGGATGTATTAGTAATATTTTCGAATAATAATGCAACCGACGAATTCCAATAACACTGTTACAAAGGAACGGGGCTCACTGCATGGAACACAGAGAGTCTGTCCGAATGCTGGGTGGATACTCATGCAATATTTCGGTATAATTCCTCGTGCCCCCCCCCCCACCCAAATCGCCCGGTTTGATCAGCCCATATATGTCATGTATACACGATAAGCAGTGGATATCGGCAAGGTGAGCACCGTGCGACTCCCATGGGTTGCTGACCGTGCGACTCCCATAGGTCACTGACCGTGCGACTCCCATAGGTTACTGACCGTGCGACTCCCATAGGTTACTGACCGTGCGACTCCCATAGGTTACTGACCGTGCGACTCCCATAGGTCACTGACCGTGCGACTCCCATAGGTCACTGACCGTGCGATTCCCATAGGTCACTGACCGGCCCTTTTACCCGTCTGGATTATGTAACGCTGGACGACAAAAATGTGGATTCATATAAAAACAAGGATGTGCATGTTTATGTCAAAGACGTTTTGCTCTTGCAAGGGCAAACAAAATGGCTGACATGTAACAGGATGTAATTAATGCGCCTGTTCGTCACATCGAAATGACTGTGTCGTCGTAGATCCAAGATCCAACTGTGGTGGAAGCGGCGGGACATGCGGACAGTGTGGAGCTCACGACCTTCCAGCAAGCAGCCGCGACTCCTCCAGTACTCTTCCTGAACGAAGTCGACGAGCACGACGGGGTTAACGAATGAACGAGGACAAGCTGCGTGGCGGTGACAGCGAGAGGAAAAAAGTATCCTCTGCCGCGGGGGCGAGATTACAGGCAATGCTCCACATTTGAATACATTAAAGCAAACACCAGATGTGATGAGATAAGCTCACTTACAACTATTGCCTAGATTTAATGTATAAAAGGCTGCTCCGGACAAAATAATTTCGTTATTTCGTGAACATGTTCCTCAATACGCCGTTGTTTGAGTGCGTCGTCGTGCCTTGCACAACATTGATTGGAAGCCCATTGACGGTCGTTGTATTTGGAAACTGTGCCCACGAGCACCTGATATAAGCGACTCGACAATTATATTTTGATTGGCTTTGATCGCCGCATGACAAATTTAATGAGAGTAGCTGAATGACGCTGTTATGGCGCAATGGAACCCTGGGTGAAAATGCACAGAATGATCTTCGCAATAGCTATTTAAGTTCAAGCCCCCATACAAACATGGACACTTCCCTTATCATTCAGCACGAGGCGCTGGCCTTCGTTGCCGGGCTCGCGGCGGCTAAGTATAGACACCTCGACCCAAGCATGGGACCGTGGACCCGTGAAGCGTCACCCAGCTGCGTGCCGAACAGCCGGATACACATGAACAGTAGCGGTGATCTGATGGCACCGCCACCGGTCTGTATGAGCGTTGTTGATACCCCAAGGTCGTGTTCCAGCTAGTCATGTGCTCAGGCAAGACCGAGACATTGGGGTCGTCGACCGCCTCACGAAGCTGCTGCTGCTGCTGGAAAAATGCTCCGTGCTAAACAAGTGGGTCGCACGACAGCTGATGACGACGTGCAGCCATCTGCACATCAGATGGCTTAGTCAAGCTAGGGCTGAGCGGGCTGCGGCCAGGCGCGCGGCCAAACAGGTGCGACAGCACGGTACATTGCGTAGTGAATATCACTGTACCTTTCTTTTTGGGCTTTGCAGGGGTATGTATCTTTCTGAGCCATAGGTGTTTTCTTGTCAGAAAAACGTTTGGACTATTTTAGACGGGTTTGTCATGTCGCATCACCATGGAATTGGGATGCAAAAATATAGCTGTGTTCCCCATCTCTGCCGCCCCCCCCCCCCCCTCTCTCTTTGCTCTGTGTCATCACAAAGTGTTCGCAATGATGCGTATGTCGTGTACAGGAATCGTTTTGATTAAAATACGGTGAATGATGTGTTCGATGAATGGGCAGGATGGCTTGACAGATCTGCTATTGATTTACGCCATGCGCCTCGGCCTTCGGAGGCTTCGTCGAATAGTTGACACAGTGTGCAACAATGCT